CGTAAAGTGTAAGGTTTAATACGCTATCAACATTCCCACTTATATAAGTGAGTGGATCGATCGATAACCTGCAATTCATTTCCTAGAGAGTTTATGAGCTGGTAAATCCTGTCTGGATGAGATTCGGTAATTACATTTTCATTTCAGGGAGCAATTTGCTTGAACTGACACGATTGAGAAGCTCGAGAGATTAGATTTCCCCAAGGCTCAGTCCTGCAACCAATAATTTTATCTTTACTATTTCGCGCTGGACAGTCGAGAAAATAAAAATAATTAATACAATAACGTCATGAAAATGTTCAGTTGTTCTGAAGATGTAAGGGGAAAGGGGAATTTGAAATCGATTGTAGACCACCGTAAATATAATTTAAAAGAAATGATTATTTTTCAGAATAACTTAGATAAAAGGATTTATCATTGTGTGAGCCTAAAATTTAGTCAATTTCCAGGATGGTTCATAGCCATTTTCCGCTTCTTAGCATTTCTAAAGATATAGCGCTCTTTTTCTCAAAACAAACTCTTTTACTGGATATTAAGTCCTCTGGCCGGTAATTTTATTTGCTGTGTCCACTCGTTCATGGCTCATTATATACAGGCTGATTCAGTAACCAGAATGTATTTCTCCGAAGGATTTTGGTGCGCTGAATTCGAATTCGAGGTTCAAATTTCTCAATTGGCTCTAGTTTTCGAGATTTCCTAACCTAAATGTACCAAAATCGTGATTCTTTGACATATTTGAGGTTGTTTACATGGATAGGTAAATTTCTTCGCTAAAACCATTAATGGGGTACTGTAAAGTACTGTATTTACTATTTAAGACGCACTTGGATTTATCTAGATATCATTTTTCGTCTTCGAGAAATTGCATATTAAAAAGTTTGACTTATTTCTCGATTTTTAAATAAGTAAAATAAGCACTAAAAACGGCCTTATCTCCGAAATCTGTGCAGTAAGATGGATCGTGATGCGGTTTTTTGCCTTCGATTCGTTAGAGCGTCCAGAAAGTTTGTGACCCTATGTGATCAATGAGAAATGAAAATTGCATCGGCGCCTAAAGAAAATGCGTTTTTAAAATTGCATCTCGAAAAGTTAAAATATGAAAAATTTATAATTCGGAAAATATTGACGGAAATGAGTTCAATTTTCCTAGTCGGGGGTTTTTGGGGTCGCTGAACACGAATATCACAACGGCAACGATCTCCGAGGTATCTAGTGTCCAGGGTGGTCGGTTTCCACGTCGTCTCCTGGAGTTTTGTGGAAATTCGTCATAAACTTAGCCGAATCTCGTTACCTCAGGATTTTTGAGATCGCTGAACGCGAATATCACGATGGCAACGGTCTCCGAGGTACCTAGTGCCTAGGGTGGCCGGCTTCTACGTCGTCTCCTGGAGTTTTGTGGAAATTCGTTATAAACTTAGCCGAAACTCGTTACTTCGGTGTTTTTGGAGCGGCTCAACACGAATAGCACAACGGTAATGGTCTCCGAGGTATCGATCTTCATAAGCTTTATCGAATATCTAAATAAATTATCCGAAACATTTTTTTTTTAAATTTGGCGCTCTTAATACAGTTGGTAGCATTGCTGAAATTTTAGGTAAGGACTGCTTCCACGTTTTACTCTTACATATATACTATTATATACTCTTACACATACTACGGATACGCTCCAAATTATAGCGCACACGTGAAATAAGAAAAATTAAAATTGTAGATATCTAAGTATAATATTTTTTTGAAAACATGTATTTTTTGTAATGAATAAATGTATTTTTATAATAAAAAATAATTAAGAATAAATTAGTTGACACAGAAACCAGCCATCCTGGGTACTAGGTACCTCGAGGACCGTTACCGTCGTGACATTCGTGTTCAGCGACTCCAAAAAAAAATAGCAAAATTGAACTTATTTCCGTCAATATTTTCCAAGTTATAAATTTTTCATTTTTTAACTCTTCGAGATGCAATTTTAAAAATGCATTTTTCTTATGCACCGATGCAATTTTCATTTCTCATTGATCACATACGGTCACAAACTTTCTGAACGCTCTAACGAATCGAATGCAAAAAACTGCATCACGATCCATCTTACTGCACAGATTTCGGAGATAAGGCCGTTTTTAGTGCTTTATTTCCTCGACTATCAAATTTTGCAATAAACTTTAAAAAATGTTCTAAGCCGAAAAACCCTAAGTCCATAAACCCATAAGGTTTGTGGTGCTGTGTTGTCAGTCAAATCTAATCTAAGTGGGTACTTACTACTTTAATACCCCATTAATGGTTTCAGCAAAAAAAATTACCTATCCATGTGACAAAGCCTCAGATATGCAAAAAAATCGCGATTTTGGCACTTTTATGTTAGGATATCTCGAAAACCAGAGCCAGTTGAGAAATTTGTACCTCGGATTCGAATTCAGCTCACCAAAATCCTTTGGGAAAGTATATTCATGTGTTGGGTAAAATCTTGTCGGTCTGTGTAATTTAGAATGTTAAAATATGTAATGAATGAAATATTTTTTAAAAGTATACAATTAACATATTAAATTGACATTGTTGCCCTGCAAGGACCTCGAGAAGGGATGAGCATTCCTTGCCAAAAAAGCCAATTTCATTAACATACTAATGTTAATTTTCCAAGCATTGACGGCTGGTAAGATTTCAGGTATGCCATATCTCAATAACTATACATGGGGCATAGAGAACTTTTTTAGAAGGAGGCCGATTTTACAATTTGCGTAAACAAGTTGAAAAAACTATGTTCCTCACTTGTAGATTCTCAGATTGGCTCCTTTAATTTTTACGAAATATTTTGTTCATATTCTGCTGCAGCGACATTCGTAAACCACTATTTCCGCATATTCGAAATTCACAAAATTAGCCATTACAACCGACACGCAAAACAATCCGAAATAAACTGCGGGTTGTATTACATTCTACATATTTTTTACATATCCCCTCTCCATATGTATGACGTGATCTTCAAATTTGGGGGGAAACAATGCGGAAGATGCGATTAACGGTGGTAGATTTGAAAATTTTATTATTATTTATGTGGTTCTGATGTGGCAACGCTGTTTCCGCCGGTGCGTCCTGGTCAGAAAACGTAAAGGTGGATATCCACTTGTGGATATCCAATGAGCCGTAACGTAACAATGAACATGTTACGGCCTGTTGCAAAAGGTGACACGGTTCGCTGCGAAAGTATGTGTGGTTTTGGTCGTATCATTCATTCCGTAACGTAACAAAATAAGGTTACGAGACGACACAGGAACATAAACTCGCATTATAACCTGACTGCAATAATGGATTCGTCACTGCAATTGCAGTTAGCAACAGCGTCATATATTTTTATTCATCATACATGTTACTCAAAAAAAAAATAATGTGTTGCTGTTACTTAATAAAAAAAAATATACAGTATAGTTGTTCCTAACAAAACAAAGATACACAATCAAATGTTTAAACTAAACTAAACTAAATCAATGTGTGTAGCAAATAATGTGGAGCAAAAAAAAAAGGGGTGTGGGTAGGTTTTTTGTATTTCGGGTGGATCGGTGGAACGAGGGTAGCGAATATATTCCACAAAAGGGGTTGGCCGCTAGCTTCAGTGGAGACGGAGTGGGTCTACAGCTAAAAGAATGTTATGAAGGCGCCACCCGTTTTTTGCAACCCCGGATGTTAAGTTTACCCAATGTGGTGGTTTTTATTCGCTACGGTGCCTTCACTATTAATATACCTATATAACAAAAAAAAAACGGGAAAAAGGCAGATCCACAAAAAAATGAAACTACTTTAAAATCTACTCATATATTGTATCAGAGTACATGTACATGTGATCGGATCACTTTACTATAGTTTGTGGAACGCGCCAGACGTCGAGCCGATCAACGTCGATCAAGTTCCATGGCTAGTGTATAATTCGTGCCTACTGATCTGGCAACCAGTATTGTTTTGGGTCTTATAGATTAATGTCACTTGAGCGAATATATCAGATATAAACAAAACAAATATGCATAAATCTTGGCAAGATTGAGAAAAGCCAAGTTAAAAAAAGATTTCCCTTTACTACAGCGCTGTACCAGAGGTTTACACAGGTAGGTGTACTAAATGTAAAAATTTATATGTTTGATGGATTATCTATAGCACTTGTAACAGGCGTGACAAAAACAAATTATTACCAAGGTTCTTATTTTAGGTACGTTTAGGCACGTATGGGTGAAATTTAAAAACAGTACATAAAAATCAGACAATAAATAATGGTGACTAATGATGCAGAAGTGAAGCTTTTACATCTATGAAGTGCAAAACTTAAACGCTACAAATAATATACTAAACTAATATTAGGCTTATCTGAAGAGTGCGTAGGTTATTCGGTTGAACCGCTCCAGGTCAAGTCGTCACGGGGTGGTATCACTCCGCCTGGGTATATCAGGTAATAGCACTCCCGCCACTAAAGACTACTTCCAGAAAGACGGTAGGGTGCAGCAAAATTTACAGTGAGCAAGCGAGAGGGTCAACTTGCTGATGTACGATATAGTTCAGTGGGGCTTCAGTGTGTTGTGATGGCTACGGCAGCTTTAACTCGATAGGTGGTGTCGAGTAACCAATGCCAGTAAACGGGTACCAAACAAGATGAGACCAAAGGCGAAAATACAAAAAGAAAAGGAAAAACAAAAAAAAAAAAGGCCTGAAAAAGAAGAAATAAATGTTCAACATATCTGCAATTCAAAGTGAGAATGTGACCACATGTTATCCTAACCTCACTACCTACCTAGGTTGTTGATCGGCCTTAAAGTGAAAATTTCTCAGTTCTTCGATATGGGCATTAAAATCCAACTACTAAGGCTTAGAAAAATACCAAAAACATTTATTTTGCCCAGATATTTCTTCCAAAAATCCGCAATTCGCGTACAGCACAAAACGTGGCTCGAAATATCTATCGAAAAAGAAAGAGAGAGAAAACTTCCGACCATTCGACCAATTCCTTTCTCAGTTGTCTAGGGGAATTTTAGATCAACCTGTTGGTACGACGATCAAGGAACATGACAACTGGTGGATAACAACTGACAGCTATTTTCAAACCAAAACAGACTGAGGTTAGTATTTATTTACTTAATTGGATGGAGATTTTTATCAAGTTTTACTTGCAGATAATATGACGACGCTTATATATAGATGGTTTCCCGAATATTTACATGATTCTACCCTAGGAATAAGGTATCTACATAGCCTGTACCACCTATATCAATACTTTCACAAAAAGAAGTTCTAATCAGAAACCAAGAAAGAAGATTGGTTGGTTCTTAGTACCTGAAAGAGTTTATCTAGCTGTATGTCAAATTGAGTGGTCTCCTTTCACTATTGTACTACGAATCACACTAGACGTTATGTGCCTAACGATACTAAAGGTAAAGTAAATGGTCACAAAAAATAAAGCCGCAACATATCAAGCAGCAAAGCAGTACATTAAGACAAGTAAATTTTCAAAGTGTAACATACAATTTTGAAGAATAAGAAACGGAAATCTCCGGAAATCTTTTCTTTACGCCACTTCATGACACAAACACAGAAAAACACACTCTTCCTAGTTAGTGCAGAAAACAAACTGACCCCAGACCATATAGAAAAGACTGACGAAACAAAAAATAAGACAAAATCACATGTCAACAGGCAACGATACGGCCAAAAGGGTAACCCCGTCTCAACATGTGGCAGAAAGTACTGTTGCATCCCTTTGATGCGACGACTAAAAACCGACAACTGATGGTTAGTCCCGGATTAGTTACACGTACCATGCAACAATTTTCCGTCTCCACTAGCTGTAACGTAACATGTTCGGTGTTACGTTACGGGGCATTTGACACAAATGGATACCCGCCTTAAGGGCGTTGAATTAGCGGGAGTTTAGGGGTAATTTGCTTAATGATGTTATGACTGAATCACCCTGTATGTTCTTCTGAGTTTCTGCTGCTTCTCTATAAAATCATGTCCAAAATCTTCTCTCTTTTGTTCCTCTTTTCTCCCTCTTCTGTCTCTCTTTGTCTCTTTTCTTTATCTTCTCTACATTATTTCTCTATTCAAATAACACTTGTGCTGCTTTAACATTACTACTGTTAGTTCAATGTATTTTTTCGGCATGTACAGGGTGATTCACTAAATTTTTAACTTTTTTCTTTTCAGAGTTATAAAAAAATGTGCATAACAAAAGTAGCAAGTTTTCAAAAATGATAATAGAAAAACAAATGACGTCCAAACAAAATGGCCGTGGATGTTAACCTAAATTTTCCGTTTTATCTTTAATATAACTATTCAACTATAACTACGTAACTATTCTTGCTTAGTAAGAGCAGTACTTTAAGTTAAGTTTTTAATTGATTTAATCCAAACCTATCATTTAATCATAGAATTTTAGTTAACGTAAGGGATAGTTTTGGATCAATACATGGATGATTTACATCAATTGGCGTTTTTAGCAAATAAGTAAAAATTGTTTTTCGTTATTTTTATAACAATTTGGATGTCACATTTGAATTGCAGATTAGATTAAATCGATGAAATAATCATTTCCAAATAAAAAAATAGATAAATAAGAAATAGAGCCAAAATCCTTCATGGCATTTATGTTATAATTATTTTTGTTTTATCTAGAATTAAAATTATTTTAGGTGATTTGTGTAACAAACTGTTTATAATAAATGCAGAAGCGGCTTGTAAAATCTAATTGGCTGTCAATCTCAGTATTTCTTCAATTTCTTAAGTTGGCCTAATGAGCTTTGGGATTCTCAAGACGTAAAACTTGCGTACCGGCAATATATCAATCACCGAAGGCACAACAATTTATTTTACTGTCAGAAACAGAACCCGCCCAACTTTGGTGTGAAGAGAAGTTATAAATATTACTATACAGAGCATCAATGTATATTTTTTTAATTAAAATTTACAACTAATAGTACTGGTAATTTCTTTCGAATTAGAAGTTATATATTTAAAATATTTCCGAGATATATCTTAAATACATATACACAACGCCATATAGGCTTTTCTACAACAAGTATTAATCTTTCTGTTCTGTTTAATATTCGTCAATTCTACAAATATTTACTAACGAATTTTCATGTAACCCTTGTGTTATTCTCGTATGACTATTTTCGAGCATATTATATAAATCTATTTCTAGCGGGTAGATTTTTATCTGTCAGCATCTCTATTTCAATTATCCTTCTTGTGTTCAATAAAAGGTATTCTTACAGTTTTATTTTCCATCTAGTTAGTTGAAAATTTATATTATCCTTTGAATTAAATCACCACTTACGTCGGTGATAGTCTGTTCTAACAATGAATTTGTGATAGAGATAAAACCTGTAATATTTTGTGCTCCGGACTAATCCTAGTTCTTTCTTCGTAATGCTGCATTTGGCTTTGGTTTCATTTAAATTTAAAAGCTCGATAGATAATTGTAATTTTCAGATAAGACTACTCCTAGAGCTTCACTTGAAGCATCGGTAGACAGTACAAATTGTTCAAAATTCGGATACTGCCATATTTGAGGTTTCATTAATAATTATTTGCAATTCTTAAAAGGGATTCAATGAACTCAGTTGTATGTTTAAATTTAACATTTTTCTTAAGTTACTGCGTCATAGTTTCATTAGTTTCGAGGAATAAACTTTCTATAATATCCTATTAAGTTGAGGAATGATTCCACGTCCTTTGGATTTTTTGATAAAGGAAAACTTTTAATAGCTGAAATCTTTTCGAGCTTGGATTTTACAGCATGAGGTGTAATCAAATGGCCCAAATATGTAAATTTTCATGTTAATAATTATAACTACTCCAGCTGGATTTTCATTCCTGAAGACTGATGGCAAACATAATAGTATGCATATGTTATTAGTTAACCCCCTTAAACAGTTCCATGACTCTCTGGAAAATAGAAGATGCTCTTTTTAGTCCAAACGGCATCCGTATGAATTCATAGTGTCCTTGTTCGGTAAAGAACGATGTTTTTTCTATATCATTTGCATCCATTTGAATCGAAACTTACATCCAAAGTCGTGAAATGTTGTGCTTCTTCTGATTTATCAAAAATTTATTCCAATTGTAGTTCCCATAATCGATGACGAGTTGTCGTTTTCATTTCCCTGACACATATATATTGAAGGGATAGATCTTAACTCAGCTTTTTTTAAATCAGTTCTAGACTTATTTTCTGTATTTTTGAAAACATTTTTAGTTTTTCATGTAGACCTGTGTAATTTTATTTGTAAAGGTTAATGGCAAATCTTCACGATGGTGTAAGTTCTAGCAGAGTTAACGACGAACAGTTTCGTATTCCTCCTGATTTATATGGTGACATTCAATATCGGTTGTGATCTTTCAAAGTGATTTAGTTCACTCTAATTCGGGTCGTTCACCTTTTCTACAACTGGGAATCGTTAATTAAGATTTATAGACTGTTTACTGGAATTATTGCTAATAATCGTCTAAGCTTCTCCGATGAATATGGTTAGAAATGATTCCAGTATTACATATTATTTTTTCGGTTTTACATTTCCTATTAGTCCCCTTGAATTCCATTCTTACTGATAAGTGGATTCTTTTGTGAACAATCACATAGTTATATTGTTATTAGAAGTACTGTGGATTTGGACACCGGTAGACTTGTTTTCACTGATTGTTATTTATATAGATAGAAAATATTGTAGTAACGACAAAATCAAAGTAAAACAAAAATTAAAAAGTTTCGCCAATCAAAATTATGTAATATTCATCAGAAATCAATTGGTCCTTAGATATTTGTGTCTTCCATATAATTACAAACAGACACGAATAAGTTTGCGTCTCTGACTCATTTGTATCAGTCTGTACATGTTTGATAAAAGTTAAGCTTTTATTAAAGTACATTATTTGTTTTTCTCCCTCCTAACTATGATTATTGATATATCTTATATAATTGTTTCCAGCTATATGTGTTATTTTATATGGTTTAAAGCTTTCTTTCTTCTTCTTCTTCATCTTCTTTTTTATATTACTTACAAATGTGAGACTTTAGGAATGAACCCGAGACATAACACCAGCTTTGCCCAGACTGACTCTAAGCTCATTTTTTTCCTCACTTACTTCATTTTTGAGGCCACAAAAAGTTCAATAGCATCTCTCGATATCTTTCTCAATTGACAGTCACTGCGCATCCAGATTCATTTTAAAAAAAGAACGGACTAGTCACCCCACCAGCGTAAAATCCACACCACACTATCCCTGTTTGGGTCGTACCCGAGGATTGTCTCTGTCCCAAATTCGACAGTTTTGCTCTTCGTGGATATGTGAACATACGCACTAAGATGGAAATGCGCCTCTTCGCTAAAGATGATTTTCTTAGCAAAAATCCACAATTCCTTGTTGATTCTCCAACATCCAATCAACGAATGTCCGGCGCATTAAATGGTGTCTGGCTTCAATTCCTGAGTTAGCTGAATCTTGAAGGGATGCAGATGCAGAACTTTTGTTAAAATCCGCTGCCTGTGCTTTTTGACATATTTTGTTGTAGCGACCGACGATCATGAAAAAAACGTAACAATTCCACATTAAAAAAATGTAGATACCGGGTAGGAAAGTACCGACGGTCTATCTAAATAAGATCCACTTCTTATTTGTGGAAGGGCGAAATGGGCGGTGACTATTAGACGCCTTCACTAGACCCATCCTTGTCTATCACATGGATTTCTATGGTTTACTTTATCGCTCTCACGTAACTTCAGATAGACCATCGGTACTTTCCTACCCGGTATAATAATATAACAATAAAATAACAAAATTAAATTTTCTTCTAGTAATAACACAAATAATATTGAAGGAAACGATAATAACAATTCCAAAAATAATACCGCATCTAAAGACAATCACCCAGTCAGTTTGCGGTTCTCCATTATCACTCAGCACTATCACTATTACCGACATTGATAATAAAAGGATCGATGACTTCATCAACCATATTATCTACATCCCACATTTTCTTTTCCTCTTTTTTAGAGTGATTAATACACGTTCTCCAATCTTCTGTTGTAACGTTTTCTAATGCTTTCTTAAGATGGCGCTGAACATCAGCCAATTTAAATGATCTATTTTCTCGAGCCACTTCCCCTTTAACTTGTGCCCAAATTAACTCGATTGGGTTTAGTTCACAATGATGGGGGGGCAATCTTAGTACGGTTATTCCACGGCTTAGTGGTAATTCATCAACAGCGAGTTTCTTATATTTATATATTTATGGGCATGTAGTTTCACAAGCTGAAGCAATTCTGCTTTTATGTGGTTTCATCATAAGGAACACCTTTGTCCAGTAACCATTCTTAAATCGTTGCCTTTCTTCATGACTGTTGTGGCATTAATTCGCATTTTCGACTATGATAAGGGACTTTATCCATAACGACG